CCTCCCACCTACCAGCACTGGCCTCCAACCTACTAGCAATGGCCTCCAACCTAGAAGCGATGGCCTCCAACCTACTAGTGATGGCCTCCAACCTACTAGTGATGGCCTCCAACCCAGTAGCGATGGCCTCCAACCTACTAGCAATGGCCTCCAACCTACTAGTGATGGCCTCCAACCTAAGAGCGAAGGCCTCCAACCTAGCAACGATGGCAAATTAGACCAATACCGGGTTCCGGTATCTGTCTAAACTTCGAGCAATACCAATATGTTTCGCCGATTCCAAGGCGCTTGTCCAACCATGGCTCCAGCTGCGAGGGAACGAATCCTTCATCACCCAACTCAGCAATGTTCAGCTCCTCTGAAGGTTCAAAACGATTGGCTTTTTACACCGTGTTTCTCCACAGAAAGTGCTTCTTCGTCTTCGTTTTGGAATTGTGGGAACAACCGGTTGTCCGTTGAGTTTCAGCAAGGCCTCGCAGCAGAGGAAGCACTGAAGTGTGGTATCGACTGCCAACTCAAAGATCGAGGTGAAAGTACGTGCCACGAAGTAGCCTCAACTGGATTCCGAAGGAACTGCATTGGGCAGACTAGCTTGTTTGTTTGCTGTTGTGCAGGAAATCAGACATGGTTGTGTGGTCCGTGTGTGGCCAGTCAACTAAGCTTCAGCAAGAAAGCTCATCTGAATACTGCCAAAGGGCCAGTGAAAAAGTAGATGATGACTTGAACTGCCGGTGCCATGTAGGGATGAATGCCCTGGCATCCAATCGGCGAGAAATTGACTTGGATGGTCCAAGATGTTCCCTTTTGAAAGATTTATTCTCTCCAACCAAATAGCGATGGCCTCCAACCTAGTAGCGATCGCCATGGATTCTCTCCATACTCCAAATGAATGGGCTGGAAGCAAAGAACTCAAGACTTGCTAGTGTGGCAGATAGGATGAAGTAGCCGCTGATTGTTGTGGCAGCCACCTCAGTCATACGTCACCTAACGGTCTGTTTCGCCCCGTGCGGCCAAGTATTCAGCTAACCCGACTAATTACTTTTAATTCTAATAGCTTCTTGTTGCTACTAGTAATGCACTCGTTACTAGAAGAGATGCACTTGTTCCTAGTAGCTTATTGTTTCTATTTATTTCTTGTTTCGAATAGCTTCTTGTTCCTAGTAGTACGGCCAGGAACCCCTAGTAGCGTCCTTGCTCCTAGTAGCGATGCCCTGTGCCGAGAAGCAATGAACATGATGCCAATGAGGTGGATCATACCTGACTGTGGATGGACGGAGACTGTCAAGGGAATGGTGCAAGCGTCAAATCATTTGATCTTTGGAAGGAGGCTGAGTCATCTCAGTCTGTACCAATTAAGCATCCTTCAGTCATTATTCCTTTCATGCTTGCTTTCCATCTCTCTTTCCCTCTCTCCCTCTCTTTGGGCCAAGGTTCTTCCGAGAATAGCCACGGTGCCAAAGCGCAAGGCATTCCTGTGTAGAAAAGCTGCAAGGCCACACACAGTGAAGATTTGAAGGGCTTTACCAAAGCAGCAGTCTGTAACAAAAGCGGCCTCAAAATCAAGAAGAAGGCTTTCTTGGCAGAGGTGCAGAACGGAGTTCCATACAAAGCAATCCTCGGGACATTTTTAATGTGAGCTGAACATGATGCACTTTGGGGGGCCATCCTTGACACGTAGCTACTAGGAACAAGGACGCTACTAGGAGCTTTTGGAGGAAATAGACCGTAGACCCAAGTGGCTGGATGTAGGCATTCTTGTTGAGGAACTTTACCTTGGGCTGTGGGCGATAAAAAGAAACATCCTCTTGCCGTTCTCGGGCGCCGTGCTTCTCTCCTTCCAGAAACTTGGTCGCTGGCACACTTCTCAAAGCACCAAATGACGCACTGCAAGCACTTCAAAATCAACACCTCATCGCTTGCAAGGAGCCACTGCCCGACAATCATTTGTCATTGTGCTTCCAAGCTGACATACTTCTGGGTATCGCACAAGGACACGGTTCTTCTGCGCCTTTGCCTGCTTCTCATAGTACTTCATCATGTACCTCACAGTACTTCTATTGTGTCACAGACCAGAACTGAGGGAAAAGCACCGTTTCTAGGAGATCAGTCATGCATTTTGTGTCATCTCATCCCTAAACTCTGAAGCAGAACAGTTTCAAACCTCAAGGAAAGGAAGGAAGAGAGAGGAAGAACGAACACTGTCATAGAACCTCTAGACTCAAACCTCTAGCAATCAACTTGTTCTGTCAGATTTCAGACGATCGT